GAAGACTGGTCATTCTCTAAATATAAAGAGCTACTGTTACTCATGTTTTGTGCTTCGAATTCCTTGGACAAGCTGCGATGAGGATAGTTTTAAACTTGATTATTTTTGAATAATTTTAAGGCGGCAGTTACTTGTGTAAGTTAAAATAAAGCACAAAGGATTCTATTCTTAATGAATATGAAGAGTAAATGTCTGTAATACAAGCATTTGGGATTAGTTGCTATTTTGAAATTAAGAATAAAGTAAATCTTATAGCTACAATACTAGCTGTTGTTGATTTTGCGGAGGTGGTTAAGAGCTTGATCTTGTCTTTTAAATTGAACCAAAGCTAAAGAACATATAGTTAGCACTCAGGGGATATTTTATCTTCAGTTTTACAAGAAGAATCATCGCCAACGAGTTTTACGAGAAGAATCATCTCCAACTCGTTTTAATGTATTTCATTTTAATTTCTGTTGCTTTCATCACACCTACTCTGACCGTTATTCTCCAACCCCTGGTAACAAATATTTTGGAATTAGACTGAGAGAACGTTCATTTTGATATGTTCTTTTTTATTTAGCAGTAAATAAATAACAAATAAGAAGATAAATATATTTATTTAATCGCTGAACGTTCGGGATTCATAAAATATAAATTTAACAAACTATAGATTAATTTATTTAAATTAATAGTGCATTATTTTCTCAAAGCATATCGAGGAAAATAATATGGAATAACTAAATGTACAGGATAATTATGGAAAAATTATGGAATGGTGCATTCCTAAAGCAAATGCTAGCAGAAGCCGACATATGCAAATCAATCTATAGTAAAAAAAAAAAAAGAGTTCTTTCCATTTTTTATTTTACTTTTCGGAACGTAAGACGTACTGGTGTATAAGACGCATCCTTATTTTAAAGACAGTTTTGCCAACTATCCAATAAAAATTTTAAATATCGATTAGACAATGCCTGACGTTAACTGCATTAAGCACTTTGATATATGTATATATATATATAATTATTTATTTAAAAATATGATTCCAACACGTTACATAAGAGGTCTCATGTTTCAAAACAAGAGCCGAAAACTTCAATATAATTATTTGAATTAAATTGAATTAAAGTAAGCTCTGTTCCATCTTCAAGCGAAATTTTTTTTGGAATAGCTTATTTCTGAAATTTACGTGTTTTAATAGCATATTCATATTGAAATCAAATTGAATTGAAATCAAAATTTCCATGGTAACAGCCAGGGCGATTGTTTAAATAGGGAGGGATGTTGCGTGTTAATAATTTGTATCAGTATAGAATGGAGACATCACCTCTGGTTAGCTGGCCGTTGACTCAGAGAGGGTTCCTCCGCCCTTTGTTAGGTCTTGTTTTTCGTCCAACCGGCTTGTTAACGAGCCGCCCCTCTCGGAACTTGGAGTTGGGTAGAACATGTTTCTGAAATGCACTATCTAGTATTAGTCCTACTCCTTTGGCACTATTCATAGATGTCAAGTCAGGGTAAGGTGGGGGTGTCTAAATTTAATGAAAAAGCTTCTTTAAAGCTTTCATTTTAGCTTTAATTTAAAGCTAAAAGAATAAATTTACTATTTCCAGTGATAAAACTATTCTGCTGTATATCGGAAATTATGTTGAGTAGAACCGATTTTTTTGTTTAAATAGCTCCTGAGCGTCTTTCTTTTAGTTGTCTTTCACCAGAATGTAATTCTCTTTATTAAAAATCTTCCAAAAGTAAAATATACTATTTTGAGGAATATTAGCTGATTTAAAGTATAATAAATCAGATTTGAAACAAATATTATTTACTTGAAGTTTAAAATACCACAGAAATGTCTTTCTTAAGAAAACAGTAACAGTGTTTTTAACTGACAGTAGCAATGTTTACATGTGTAGTGGACCGTGGCTGTAATGTTGTTGAGTAGACGTAGAAGAAACACATGTGGGTTCAGATTCTCCTGCTCGCCGGCCCAACTACATAAAAAGGTTGGACTTGAATTAAGTCCAAAGAAGAAGGCAAAGAAAACAAACAAAACACAAGACCGATAATATATGTATACAAATATATATATTAATAACAGGTTACATAGAAACAGTTACAAAAGGACAAAGTGTGTGTGAATATTATATATGTGCGTTGTGTGTGCGTGTATGGTGCTTAGCGTGTTCCCAGCATTTTTGGGAAACGCTATCCCTTATTAGCGCCTACATTTCGAGGTTGTAAGCTGAAAGCCTAAAGAAAAAGAGAGATTTACCTCCAGGTGTCGACGCGAAGGCCTGAAAGAGAAAGAGGCGAAGGGTCAGCGGCTATTTATAGCAGCGAAGAGAGACCCCTGGTGTAAGGGTTACGAACTGAAGGAGGAGTTAACTCCGACACATGTCTCGCAAGACGATGACAGATTGATTTCTGTTCTGCGCACTGTAAAACATAATTTCTGAAAATGACGATATTTTATATAATTTTTAAGTACTCAGTAATTTTAAAAATGTTGGAAAATATTTTCCGTAATCTAATTTTACGAATGTTTACTTTAAATTTACTAGAGTCACAGCTCTTATTTTCTGATAATGTCGAGTATGGTCAGCCATACTTTAAAAAGTGGGCACGTTACATAGTATTTTATATGCATAAAAAAATTAAAAAATATTTAAAAAATCTTGGTGCGTGATGATTTCTATTAAGTTTTTCAATTCTTGACTAGCAAATATAGTTTTAATTTAATAACAATATCACCTAACGCAATCAAACTAAGGCAGGAGTTTTAAAAGATATATATATATATATATATATATATATATATATATATATATAGTGTAACCCGGATATGAGAGAGATGTCGGGACCGGAGAAGAAGTGTCTTATATCCGGATTTGCTCTATTTTATATACATTAACACAGGCTCTAATTTGGGACCAGAGAAAATCTCATTTTTATCCGTGTTTCTCTTATATCCGGGTCTCTTATATCCGGGTTACACTGTATATATATATATATATATATATATATATATATATATATATATATATTATAATAAGTTATTATAATTAAAATAAAAAAATGAAAACAATTCTTGGAAAACATTTTAAGACAATAGTGTCCTTAATAAATTTTATTTATAAAAGCAATTAAAAGCTCTTTTAATTAAATAATTGACGTCAGTTTTATTGCATTTCTTATTTTACGATTCAGAGCAGATTTTCAGGAAATGAATAGCAGTTTGAAAAAACAAATTATGATTTACATTCTCCAAGGAGTCCTGCTTTTAACTAATAAAACAAATTTTGCAATCAAAATTTAATTTATCGAAATTTCATTAAATTAAATAAGTGATGGTGGGAAACATTTGTAAAAAAAATATATATATTTACCGAGATTTTCTAAAAAAAAAAAAAAACAATTCCAAAAACAATTAAATTCATTTGCGAATAAGTTCCGAAAGTGTCATTAAAATTCGACAATTATTTGATTTTTTTGCAAGAATTTCCAAATCACTGTGTTTTTTACCGAAAAAAAAAAAGCTGCTACAACATCAAAAGTAAATATTACGTCGACCGCTGACGCCCACACTCCAAGATTTTTAACCAAAATTTTGAACGTGCTAGAAAGCAATAAAGCATTTAATAAAATAATAAAAAGTATTTTGGTCTTTCCGCTTAATAATAGCATAAACATTTTGCCGATAAATCTTTTTTTATTAAGTTTGGGGTCTTTTATCATAATGCTATGCTATTTTTTTGGGCGAATTAGTGGAGGTACCTAATGCCAAGTCTTTATTATCATCACATTTATTTAAGAACAGTTTAATAAAAAAAAAATCCAATTTTAAAAGAAAATTGTTAAATGGAAATCCAATTTTCAGGTGAGGTTATGTATAGTGGTCAGGGTTATTTTTTTTTAAATTATTGCAGATAAATAATAATTAAACACGTTTAAATCAAAATTATCAAAATTCATTTTAGCTATGTATTGTAAAACGGATTCTGACTTTCATCCAATAAATACAAATGAACTTATTGAAAACAAATCAAATGAAGAAGTGGATTTTGTAGGCTATTGCCATATTGAAGAGGGTGACACCGTGGAGTAAAATTGAACAAATTCCGTTCACATTACAAATATAGTTCCAAAGTTTTTTCATTACTGTAAAAAAGATAACTTATTTTTGCTTACTTGTTGAGTTTTCTTTATTTTTGACCACTGGTGCTAGAATGGAGTGACCATCAGTGATGAAAGACCAATATAAAACAGGTCATGTGAAAAGACACGATCCATCATATTCAGTCGAGCAACTTTTAATGATTGTCTTTGATATTTATTTATTGTCATAGAAAAAAGCTGAAACTGGAAACTGGAGTCCTCTAAATTCAAATGTCATCGCAATTCGTTTATGGAATTTTATGGATGTAGCAGTTCACTCGAGCGTGTTTTTCTGACTTGATTGTAACTTCCAGGACATTCGGGCATCATAAGTTTAAGAGTAATTCTTGTGTCGTTGTTTTGGTGGATAGATGCTATATTACAGCATGTTGGTTCAATATGAAGAAATCGAAAAAAATAAAAAAAAATAAAAAAATAACCCACATATTTTCGAGGAATATTACAGTCTATAACATCTCTTAAAATTCCATAACCAAACCTTTTCTACGTGAAATGATGTATTCTGTTGTATTTTCATTGGATAGGAAAATCGCGCGCCTGTTGGTGCTTGACGATTGATTTGAAGTAAGCGTTGTTGGTGTCTTCTGCTTTCAACCAATTTTTATATAGCCTACACTTAATTGGAAGCGAATATTTTCTACCGTCAGTTGCAAAGTTTTCCTTAGCTTTTAATAATTTACATGTATGTGTTTATAGCATTTCATAAAAAATATCGAAAAAAATAAAATCAGTTTATTGAAAAAATATAAAAAAAACCTTAAACGTTTTTTAATAGATTATTTTCTTAACAAAATGTAACACGAAAACGAAAAATACTACAACAGTTACTATAACTTCTACTACCATATAGCTTACGGCCGTATCACTTTGAAACATTTGTTCTCGTGCGATCGCCGAAGTTAAGCAATATCGAGCCTGATCAGTACCCAGATGGGTGACCGCTTGAGAATACCAGGTGCTGTAATCTTGGGTATGTGGTTGGTGTAATGGATAATGGCTAGGAAATGGAAATCGAAGAATCGAGTAGGTTATATTCAACTTACGCGCAAATACTCCTGGAAAAGTTCTGAAACTACCTTTTCTTCCCACCAGCTATGGGTTAAATTAGTAGAACTTGTATTAGTAAAAGTCATTATTATCTGAAAAAATTCTTATAATGTAAAAATATTTTCCGGTTTTAAATAACCTGTAAAAGTTCGATAAGCCGTAAAATAGAACAGTCATTGAAACTACTACTTCAATATAAAATGCAATATTTAATTACATTTTGTTTTCTGATTTAATGACAACAAATTTTTATTTTCGTTTTACAATTCATAGATTCAAGTGAACGCAAATAATAAAATGGTGCGATTCTTTTTCTTTTTAATTTTATTATTTTTAAAGATATTTTTCGCTTAATATTTTTCTAATGGGTAAAAAATGGAAATTTGCTTTTGTAAGAAAAGCGAACCTGCTGTCTTTCACAGAAAAATGTTTATAATTTAAAAACAATTAATCCTTTTATTAAATAAAATGAGTGTATTCTTAAATAATTTCAAAATAAAATGATACCGTGCATATTTTTTATCTTCGACATACTGTAATTATTGCTACTGTTTATGTATGTTAATAAATAGCAACTTGGTTAATATTTTGGTTAAATGTTTTGCTATTTCTGTTATATATTAAATAAATAAATGCTTTACTAATAAGTTTAAAAATCGTCTTTTATGAAACAAAAAGTAGGTGGGTATTCTACCATTGACTTTTTTTTAATCATTTCACTCCAAGAGGGAGTGCCACTAGTACACAGAAAAGCGATAGGAGACTAAAAGATAGTGAGTGGAGTCAGAAGCTTCTCCAGAGTTCTTAAAAATAGTGACTACAAGGAGGACTTCCAACAAAATTGAAAGCAGGAAGCAGCGTGGTAACAGTTCGAAGAGATCAGGGGTCAGTTCGGGGGCACATCATTTTAGGACGACCACTGGTATCCCGTCAACTCCACTTGTCTCATGGGAGTTTAATTCAGAAATGATGTGACAAGACCAGTGACGGGGATATGCGCATATCACACAGTATAGCATCAGTTCTAGTGGGGAAATCAAATGAGTCGAGTGTTAACTTGGAAGAGAATTTCCGAGCAAAGCTTTCCACCTTATCTACTGTAGACGTCAGAACTTCAAATTGATTGAATAAAAGAGGGATTGTGGATTTGCTGTTGTAGAGCCGCCAATAATCTCTTCTGGAAAGGAAGTTGCGAGATGCAATACGTTGTTTCATTCTATCAGCAAAGAGTAACTTCGCTTCATCGAGGACACGCTTGCACTCGTTACGAGCAGAGACAAAGAGACATTTGTTGAAATCAGACGTTTCGCTCTTGTACAGACGGAAGAAGTGGTTCCTGTGTCTATCTTTATCTATAAAAGGCAGGACGTGCCTGTGTGTGTGTAACGAATGCACGGCCGCAATTTTCGACGGATTTGCACCAAAATTGACATGCACATGCTCTAAGTTAGCGGAAAGGCCAAGACCGACGTTGCATTACCCAACTTCCATCGATAGTGGAAATAATCGATTTTTACATGCTTCTATGGCAGTTTTCATGTAGTTTGCGGCCATTTTCTACTAGCCAGAGTGAGAGCCTGTAGCTGGCTGCCACAAATAGGCAGGAAGATTCTATCGGCCAGCGTAAGAGCCGACAGCTGACTGACACGAATGTTAACTAGCATGCTAGCATGCAAAAAAATCGATAGCTGCATTCGTCACAAGTGGGAAAAATTTAAATCTGCATGGCACTTTACTCTAATTGTCTCATTCGCTTGTTTAAACTCAACGTTGATTCTGATTCCACAGAACTGGGTTGGATGTGAAAAAGTATTTGTTGTTAACATTCTTTTTTCATTCGGTTTTTCCAGATACGAGCCCTTTTTAAAGCTGATCGTTTTGTGTTCATTTTGTTTAGTTCTTTTTTCGTAACAGATTTAATGTTTAGTGTAGAGCTTAGAAAAAATTCGCAGTGTGAGATAGGCAAGAAGTAAGGCATGTAGCAACATCAGCACGGCAAAGGGCACTCCTTTAAAGGCAAGGAAAGGCAAAAATATCGAAACTGATCAGACATAATCACTGAGACAAACAGTGTTTAAGTCACTATTTCTTGATCTAGTGTGTAATGCTATCCTTAAACTGGCGCTACAGAATCACAAACAAGCAACTGTACCAAATAACAGAAGCCACATCACTTGAGGACTTTCAACAGCAGCAGCAACTGAAATGGATATCAATTTTAACTGGAAGAGAAAATAATGACATAATCAAGATGTTGGCGTTCAACACTAAAAATGTTAAGAAGAACCCCCCCCCCATTAATATTGGAAAGAGTTCTATCCAATATTGGAAAGAGTGTTAAAAGGTAGTGGTATCGGTCAACATTATGATGGCCATTAACATATATTTAAATCAGATTACCACTACATAATTCTGATGAAAGAATTGACCTTTTTTGAATTTTGATGTTATAGATAGCAGAGAATTCTCAGAACCAATGTCAAGAAGTGTTACAAAACTGGGCCACAGGCAGAGAACTGGGCTACATTTTGAAAGTCCAGCGCTAAGATATTTTGAAAATGTCTTCTTAATTCATAATTCAAATTAGCCACAAGTAATTCTAAAATTTGCTTTAAAGTTTGCAGGTTGTAAATTTCAAAATTTAATGACATTCGACTTTTTAAAAGCCTAATCGGGAAAACCATTTTGAAGGTGCTTGCATTAACACATTATATAGAACGCTTTAACAGTAAGAATTAGTTGGTTCTATCTTCCACATTGTGCTAAAATCGATACTCATTTTGATAATGTATTTATATTTTGATAAAGTCATATGTTTGGCTTCTTTTCATTATGATTCCTTACTTATTATTTTGACTCCCTTTCAGAAAGGGCGGTGTCTTTGAGACACCTGAATAACTCCTAATCAGATATAGTGCTTGATTTGGCTGATTCGGAATAGCGAAAATATTAGATTAAAGTTCCAAAAATAAAATACGTCCTTCCATCAAATGTTGGAAAATAAAATCTCAAGACAAGAAGATAAGTGAAGTGAATAATTCAAACGGTAAAGATATTCCATCTCGCATGGAAAGTTTAGCTTCAGAAATAAGCGACACCGTTGAAACAAGAAAACCTCAGTTTTAGAACAACATAATCGTCTCCTGGGGATGATTTTTTATGAGATTTTGTATTTGGTGAGTTTGTCTCGTGTAAAGTTTAAATCGACAATGCTGAGCGTCAAGGACTTAAGATAGTTTAACGTAGGGTTTGTCGTGACTATTATATGGATCTCATGTATGCCGTCAAACTCGTTCAGATATATTTAAACTGTCAGTTGTATACAGCCGTTTCTCAACGGCATCGAGAGAATGAAGTTTGTAGGATCATACTTTGAACCATGTCGATTTGCGCTACACAACCACAAAGAACTGTACCAAATAACAGAAATCACATCACTTGAGGACTTCCAACAGCGGCAACAACTAAAATGGATAGCACTTTGTTATGATCCAAGTTCCTTGTACCAAGGTGATGGTCCAAGGTTAGAACCAATGAAAGAATAACACAAACACAGGTATGGAATACAAAGATATATTACAACAGAAATATAATACAAAGAAGTAGAAGTATTAGTAATGACTATCAGATTTGGTTAGAGTGAACTATGTTGTTTCGACAAGTATCACTATTCCAATGTCATTACAATATGCTCTCAATTTTCTCTCCTCGTCTTACAATCTCTGCTCATACCTCTTGGGAGGCGCAGTATTTATAATGTCAGGAATAGTCCATTATTATTATGGGTAAGTTCCCATAACACACTTGGAAGTCATAGACAAAATAATGACATAATCAAGATGTTGACGTTTCTCTCTATCAAATAAATACTGGAAAATTAATAACATTTAATAGATTTCAGAAACCTGTTTTCCTAAAAAATTATTATTAAAGTGCTTTGTTATAAAACTAGTATAAGTTTGTCGTTTCTAGTTAATAATATTGTAAGTGTTGTAGGGAACGAACTGATAACTCTAAGTATACAAAAAACCGATACACCTCTATTAAATGGGACTGTTCCAGTAGGAATATAAGCGTCTATGGTCTCGGAGTGGGTTGATTTGTTTCCCCAGCAAGCACCAAGACGTCGAACCCTCTATCTTCGAGAAGAGAGGAATCCAAACGAGGCTATGCTGAAGGGCAGTCTTGTCTGGGGAGGTTGACAAACCCGACCCCGTATATGCTGGGTCCATGGGGAATATTTTCCCGAGTCTACGGGCTCGGATAACCCACATAAAAAATCGGCCTTGTGCCACATCCTGCCTTGTGGGGGAGGTATGGTAAATACTGACTTGATTTCCAGCTTCAGTCGAACTTGTAAATACCTACTTGTATTGTTTTTGTTTAAGATAAACCCTTATACTTTTTAAATTTGTCGTTCTAGTTATTATTTTCAATAACCACCCCGGACAACATTACAAAAGTAAGGAAAACAATGGAACAAAGATTAGTGAAAGAAAAGGTTTAATCACAAGAGGGACATGGATTAATAATACGATAATAGCTACTCCTTTTGACCCACTTTGCGACACTGTTTCTATGAACAGACGTCCTAAACATAAATTAACGAGTCTATGTTAAACAATTAGTGTAGAGAAGGATGGTCGTTTTTTTACAATTTTTATCAATTTGAGCCAAAAGTATCCCTGGGTGCTTGGTAAATGCATATTGAATGTTTGTTTATAAGGAATCGGCTAATAATTATATTCAGGGGGATTGCCACATTGAGCTATCACGTATTAAGTCGTTATACGTTTGAAGACCAAACTCTACTAAATTTTGAATTAACGGTCTTCTCATTAGTAAGCTAACGAAGTTTGACTTAATGAAAATAATTAATAGTTTCCAGTTAGTCAGCCAATTTTAGAAAAAAACTAGT